TCCCTCCAAGCCCCAATAAGAAGACATTTTTGTGTTTACATTAAAGGAAGCTGAAGGCAGACTGAATAAATTTGCCAAGTTTGTGGCGAGCAGTGGAGCCAAGCTGGACCAGAACCTGGGTTCCTGTCCCACCCCCAGGACTGTTCCACCCTACCCCACCGACTCCCTGGGGCCCCAATCTCAAGCCATACAGCCTGTGCAATTCTATGCATTTACCCGAGTATTCATTTCTATGGCAGCACCTATTGTCTCCACTGTCACCCTTGCATTATGACAATGGGGACAATAGTCATACTGCTATGACAATTGCCAGAGTGATTAAAATCTTGATAATCATTTAAATTCTGCCAAGTCCTTCTACACTAGAACCTCTTTTGGTCTTAACAATCCCACAAAATGGTTTTTCCAAAGAGTACGATTCTTAATTCTCTGTCGGGGAGACCAAAGCACAGCCAGAGAAATGGCTTTGGCCAAGTCTCTGGCCAGATCATGATAGAGCAAAGGTTGGAGCCCGGCCACATCCTCACAGGTCTCTACCTGGCCCCCGCGCCCCCTCACCTTCCAGGGCTCCACCACTTTCCCAGGGCAGGGCTCGGGGCATTTTGCTTGGAAAATGGGATCCTGAATGAAGACCTGGGAGATAAGGGGGAACCAGAGGGGAGGCCTTGGAGAAAAGGAGAGCATGGGGAGGGGGGGGCAGAGGCTGCAGGATGCAGGATCCGAGCCCCTGGCGACCCTCAAATAGAGCCTGAATGGAAGGGTGGTTGGGGGTGATTTTTCAGACTAAATTATATTTGGAGGGAAAGTAGAGATTTCCTCCTCTGATGTAAGGAGCCACAGTTGGGGACATCATCTTTGTGTCTTAGGCTTACCACCCAAGCCTTGGGCTTACCTTGTTTCCTCTGGCCCATGAGATAACCAGAGGCAACTCTCGGTTCAGGGATGGAAGACTGGAGGCATGGGTTTATTTTTGAATGAATTGCCAGACCAGCTTAATCAAGGACATGTGCACTGGTGGGAGCAGAGACAGGAGCAGAGTCATGGGCTCCAGTTGCTGCTTCCTGGACGATGGAGCTGGTGCGTTGAGCTCTGGCTTCCCCCAGAGGCCAATCTCAGCACCGCTTTATAGATGGAGTAACAAGGGGTTAAATGCATGGCTTAAGGACAGACGCAGGTCTCAAACAGTTATTCTGGCACAGCTTTCTACAAAGCTGGTAACGTGGCCCCTTAGAAACTCCCAAACCCCTCTCCCGTCTTCTGTCCCAGTGTGATGGACAGAGAAGAATTTGACTTGCATCCTTGTAATTTAACAGCTTGAGATTTGGAGCCATCACTTAGTCTTTTTAGCCTAACTTCCTCTTATCTGTGGAACGGACTAGAAATGCTGCTCTCCCAGGTTGCTCCTGTTCTCTGTTCAGGGAACCTTGCTTTCATTATCTATAGATAACTCCTTTGTCTCTGTTCAAATATGTGCATTTGATGTCACAGGCTTCTAGGCTGCGCTATGTCATCCAATAAACTACTTCTTGCTAAGGTGTCAATCAAGAGCTTCATGTAAAGGGTCCCAAGACGAATATTTAGGCTTTGAGAGCCATGAGGTCTCTGCCATGGCCACTCAGCTTCTCTGTTGCAGGGCACTGTAAGCAATCTGTAAAGGAAGGCACGTGGCTGTGTTCCAGGGAACCTTATGAACACTGAGACTTGAATTTCTTATTATTCAAGTTCAAGTGCATGCATTATTCCTCTTTTGATTTTTTTTCAATCATTTAAAATGTCTCCTTTTTTTTAGCTCACAGTTATACAAAAACAAGGAGTTGACTAGATTTGTCTGTGTGCTGCGCTTTGCTGGCCCCTGGCTTAACGCAAGAGGCATTTACATTTTAAGTGAGGATTATCTGTTAAAATGAAACATCAGTTCTGTGCTGGTGGCATCTCAGAGGGACGACAAGCAGCTCTTCTTCAGGCTCTCTCTCCGGCAGGGCTCTGGGTATCAGCCTGCAGGAGCACCACGGCCGTCCCATCCCCTGACAGACACAGTTCCATTTTCTAGACCCTGACAATTCTATTTCCGTAAGCAAATCAGGGCACCTTACTGTGCTCATCACCCTACAATTTGAAATCAATGTCTTTCATGGAGTAAAACCTAAGCCAGCTCTTGGGTTTTCCTGATCAATAATTAATCTGACTTTTGAAAGGGGCAGCATGAAGCCAGCTGACCCCTGGGGCCTGCTCTATTTCCTCCAGGTGGCAGGAGATGGACGGTACGAGGGGACAGAGACATCCAGTTGAGGTGACTTAGCAGGAGCCTCGTCTACCCCAGGCACACCTGACTGGGGCGCCTGACTCCCTCTCACAGGCAGGTCAGCCTGCCTTACCTGAGGGTAGCAAAGAAACCAGTCAGACACACAGCCCCAGTTTACTCCTATGAAGCTGGGAGAAGGGGCCAGGCAGGAGACACAGGGCTGGGACCAGCTGTGGTCAGTTCTTTCCTGGAGAAGAGTGCACTTCTGAGAGCTGCAGCCCTGATGGAGGGTGGAGGTAATAGGCCCAGGATGGGAGGTTGGTGTGAAGGCTGCCCAAGCAGTGGAAGAGCTCATGAGGGTGCTGGGGGGGGGGTGGGCTAGCTCCCCTAAGGCAGGGAGGCACTGTGACCACTGCTACACAGGTCAGAATCCCTGGAGGGCCTGTCCATGACCAAGTGCATGCATCGCTAAATTTCTAAGGCTGGTTTTGAACTCACGACCCTCCTGCCTCAGCCTCCTGGGCAGGAAAAGGTACATTTTTCCACCAAGGTTTTGCTGCCCATTCATTCATCTGCTCTGCACTGCGTGTGCCCATGCTGTGTCTGGTCCTGTGCTGAGCCCTGGAGATAAAACCGCCCATGGCATAACCCTGGACCTCCAGGAGCTGCTGACCACACTGGGCACTGCAGGGTGGGCACTCAGCACGTTCCTCACACAGAATTGGACATCGTGGCCAAGATTTTGTTTGCGTAGACTTAACATTACATTTGCATAGATTTAGCAAGTCCACACCTCTGTAAAGATTACATTTAAATATAGGTATAAACAAGGAATCCCAAATCCGTGGGCGCCTCATTTGTCAAAGACCAAAAAACATTAGGATCATTCTCGAGATATGACTTTGCTTTTTGCCTTTCCTATTTAAAATCCCACTGTGAGCACATTCCACCCTTTGGAAATGCATAGATTCTTTCTAGACTCTTCTCTTGAAAGGCCAGGCCTATATTGCTGATCCTTATGTAAAAATAAAACAAGATGGGTTCTTTACTTAGATAGTTTTTTGTTCACTCATTCAGTGACCCTTTCCCCTCCCCTCCCCTCCCCTTCCTTCCCTCCCTCCCTCCTTCTCTCTTTCCCTCCCTCCCTTCCTCTCTTTCTGGTACTGGAGATGGGACCTAGGGGCACTCCACCACTCAGCCACATCCCCAATCCTTTTTATTTTTCTAATTTTGAGACAGGGTCTCGCTAAGTTGCCGAGATTGGCCTTGTACTTGCAATCTTTCTGAGTTGCTGGGATTCCAGGCTTGCGTCACTGTGCTCAGCCTGAGAAATGAATGTGACAGAATCCTGCCTTTTGGGCCCTTAGGTCTGGTGCCTTAAGCCCAGTCAGAACTCAGGCGGCTGAGGTTCAGGTGTCTTGTGCTGTACCTGACCCACGTGGCCCCGAGAAAAGGGACTGGGAATGAATGCCTGACTAAAAGGCAGCCACTGGAAGTCTAACCAGGGACCTATAGGGTGGCCTGGCCATGGTCTGCCTAAAAGAGAAGAAAGAATATAAAAGGGGCCAGAGACCTAAAGACACATCCAGGAAGACACAAAAGCCTGGAGCATCACCAACACGTGAAGAGATGTCCCTTCAAGCACCCACACAGGGACACAGAGATGGACATTGACCTCCCTGCTCAGGCACCAGGCCTATCACCAAGAGAGTTATCATTATTCTGCGTGTTAGGCCGGTTTGCGGTGGCTAAGGGAACAAAGCACCAGGCAACCCATGCGTGTGAAAGAACAACCAATCAGGCGCCCAGACAAGCAGTGATAACCACCTGTCCATCAGCGGGGTCTCCTGACTAGTCCTGGAAGGACATGGAGCTCAGAAAGATCCCTCACCAGCCCCAGGAGGACAGGGGACCCTAAAAACATCCCTTTCCTGTCCTAAGCCCTTCCTTCCTGCCCCAAGCCCAATAAAATTCCAGTCCAGCTGAGCCTGGGTACGACTCCCCTGGACCCACTCTGTTGGACTGCAGGGTCTCGCCTGGGAGCGAAGCTCAATAAAGCCTTGTTCAGCTGCTTTTAATGTGCCTCCTTTTGGTCACCAGTGCCTGACCTTACACCATGAGCTGCCCAGCTCTCTGCAAGATGCCCCTAAGCAGCTGTCCTTGCCTTCTTTTCATACCCTAAGGTCAGTGACAGAGCCCACAGCCTAAGGGTAATTGGAATTCCCGCTCTGTCTTTGTCCCTAAAAGATCTACATTGACACAAAAATCCACTTCATCAAAAGCCATCGCTTCTCCATTCCCTGAGTCAACCTTTTAGAAACCCACCTACCCAGAGGCTGTCACCTGCAACCCCCACCCATGATCTGAGTGCAAGCAACATGGCGACCTTCCCAAGGTATCCATCAGGGGTAGAAATCTAAGGTGCACCAGCCCAGCTGAGCACCCCGGGGATCAAGTAGGTGGGCTCACTGGCAATTCTTCGTCAGCGCTGTGGGATAATTACTATTATTTTGGAAATGTCATCAGGTTTGAGAAAGGGAGCATCAACCTCAGACAAGTTTCCTCTGAGATTCTCAGCTGTAAAATGGGGATAATAAATCGTCTAAGAAGTGTGAAAACAAACTATTTCTTGCAGCAAAACCATCACATTTAAAACATTCCTTCCATTGTGTTATAATGATTCGAGGACACAGACTGTACCCCCTTTATACCAGGCTAAGATGCCTTCAGGTAGCAGGACTGATGAAACCAGGCCCACCTTGCCAGCCAGGCTTGCAAACTGGCTTCACGTCCACCTGCACCAGGGTGTCCTGAGCAGCGGGCTTCTGTCCACAGTCATACGCCGTCACCAGGATCTCATACTGGCGTTGCTTGTCGTAGCTGAGCTTCTCAGTGTTCCTGATGTTGCCTGAAGAGTGAAGATCAAAATAATTTCAGGGCAAGTTAACAACACTGCACTCTTCCAAATCCCTTCTCCATTCCTTCAACCTTCATAAGAACGATACCAGCCTTTTCCCCACCTCTTTGTAAAAATGGGGGCCAGACAGGAGCTCCCACCAGTGGCCTGCTGATGCTGTGGTGGTAGATTCCCAGGAACCCCTGGCCGGAGCCACCTCTCCATGCAGTGGGGCTGCTCAGGAATTCTGAGCACACATCTGGACTCCACTGGCCTGGGTTTGTAAGAAATGAGTTGCCTTCAGAGCTCCCTCCCACAGTGCACGCACGCACGTGGCTGCATCTCTGACCTAGGGCAGAGGGAGCCCATCTGCCATGAAATTTCTGGGAAAAAGATGGAATTCAGAAAATGTCCTGACACATATTTCTGAACATCTGGGCTTGTCGCCAGGAATGTTCACTGCCTCTTCTCACATTATTTTGCTACCAAATAGGAAGTAAAATCAATAAAAAAACGTGTGACCTCCCTTCTGAAAGCTACACAGAATAACAGATTCTTTGCCCTGAGGAAGAAGACATTTTTCTTTTATGAGAGAGAGAGAGAGACCAAACAATTTTTTTTTGGAGTCGTTTGTGTGTTTTTTGTTCCTGTGGGATTGACAATACGATTCATAAATAAATATTTGCTAATTAATGAGCAAAATTTTAATTGACTATTTTTGCAGGAGTACAATTTTCGTTCCAAAGAACAAATAACGACCCAAAGCTCATTGAACACTTTAAAGTTTTTAATTCCAAGAGATGAAAGTCTTCCTTTGGTGAGCCTAATTTCTTTCATTCTTGCTTTAAAAATATTTTTTCTATTTTATTTTTTGATGGTGAAGTTGACAGCGAATTAGACATGAAATGTTATCATCATCTTTTATGAGAAGTGAAATTAAGAAAATGGAAATTAAAAGAACAGACCAAGGAACAAATCATCAAAAAAATGGCTGACTAAGGTAGATTTTTGTGTCTTATTAAAACCATAGGAAAGTTACCTGAGTTTCTTCCATTCTGACGGATGTATATTATTCACATGAATTGAGACAACATGGAATTAAGACAAAAAAATATTGAATAGGAAGGAATCTGACATAACTTTCCTATGTTCATGTATGAGTACACCATCAGTGAAACTCCACATCATGCACAACCACAAGAATGGGATCCTGATGAGAATAAGTTCTAATCCATGTAGCTATAATATATCAAAATCCACTCTTACTGTCATGTGTATCTAAAAAGAACAAACGAAAAAGGTTGAAAAATTAGAAAAGTAAAATAATGTTTTAAAGACTGGAAAAGCTTATCCATCAATCACCTAGTGTCATTGAGAGTGCTCAGGGCTGGGTCACAGGCTGGTCTTGCACCTGCGGGGACAATCAGGCTGGGGAGCTAGGGGGTGGCTAATGTCAAGGAGGGAAGACAAAGTCATTGTTACACTGAACTAAGAATCAGAATGATTCATCTGCTCCAGACTGTTTCTAAAAATGCAACTGCATCTATTGATTTGAAGGAGCATTTAATTTAATAAATTCATTAAATCTGTGAATTAAAAATGGATATGATGGGTTTCTGGCTTTTTATCTGGCATTCAAAATTGCCTTCATTTCCCCTGAAATGTTTATTTTCTTCTCAGTCCTGAGAGCCTGCATGGGCCTTGGACCACTCAGTATTTGGTTGGTAACACTCCTGATACATTCTGTTAACAAACTGGCTTGTGTCCTTATTGTCATCAGGGGGAGGGTTCTGTCGGGGGGAAGCACTTTCATATAACCACCAAAAAAGTCTGTTTCCACAGCATCAGATGGAATTTGGAACAGAAAGTTTTTAAGTTTCTCTTTCCTTAAAGTTAAACGGTTCTCTTAGAAGAGGAAGGCACGGGGTCCCCAGTCGATGTGACATTAAGCAGACCAAACACTATTGATTGTGGTCGAAAAATAAACACACAAGCCGAATCCTTGACTCAATTTGTCTCAACTCCACTTCTGTAACAAGTCTTAATGAAACTGTCTGAGAAACTAATTGACTTTCTCTGCCAGTACTAACTTCATGCATTGGAAAAATGGGTTTCAAAGCACAAGAATTTGAAGCATTAGCTCAAAAATAAGGGCACAGTCTTGAGGCCCATCCCTGTGTGGGAGGAGGTCACCTTTGGCTCAGACGCACAACTAAGATCTTTTGAAAGCACAGAATACGCCCTCCACTTGGCTTCTGTTGCAATTGTGTGTGTTTCCCTAACATTTGGATGAATTTTCCTACTGACTGTCCTCTTCTCAGGAGACCTGAGCTCACAGGAAACTCAGGGGAGATGCGGTACCTGGGCTTGTTTCTCCAGGTCCAAAGGTACCTGGGAAGCAAATCCTTACAGAACTATTAGTCCCAGACTTAGATATTAAAGAAGTTGCTTTTACTCTCAGGGCAAGTGGGTGGGGGAATAAAGAGAGAAGTGTTGCACACCTGTAATCCTAGAGGCTCAGGAGGCCGAGGCAGGAGGATTGCAAGTTTAAAGACAGCCTCAGCAACTCAGCAAGGCCCTGGGCAACTCAGTGAGACCCTGTCTTTAAATAAAATATAATAAGGGTTGGGGATGTGGCTCAGTGGTTCAATGCTCCTGGGTTCAATCCCCTGTACTGAGAGAGAGAGAGAGAGAGAACTTTGTCTTCCTTCCAGTGGAGTTAAAATGGGAATTACCCTTCTGGAAAGCTCTTTGGTAACCCAAGCCTATCACTTTGAAATTGCTCTTATCTTTCTACATGGACTCCCTCATCTAAAAACAGATCCTGGGAAAATTGATAAAACTGCAGATATAAGTGCATATATGTTCATCTAAGTGTTACTTACATATTGAATAATGGTCTGATAGGTAGCGGAGTGTAAGAGTCTTCTACACCTAAGATGGAGCTTTGTTCAGCACTGAGATAGTGATTATTAAATATCTGTAAGGATGGGAAAGTATCTGCCGTCAGATTTTAAGTGAAAATCAGAAGACAAAAATAAGCAAGGATAGTGGGCTCTTAATTTTATTTCCATATCATAGGAAAGTACTGGAAATATGGGAAACTGTTGTCAGCGGTTCTCTTTGGCAGGAGGATGGTGATGAACTTCCTCTCCACCCTCCTGAGTGCTTTCCAAGTTCCCCACACAGGGCTTGCATTGCTATTCTACTCAGGTGGCAAAGAAGCATTTTCACTGACTTAAAGAATACACAGATTTGAGGACACACTCTGCTCAGAAACCACAGAGTCCCAGACTCCCTGGGGCAGTCTTCTGACAAAGAGCCCAATGAGAGCAAACATTGGCTTGAGAAGTAGAGCATCTGTCACCTGGTCCCTGGGCATCCTCTCCTGTCAGCTTCTATCATACTCCAGCCAGTGGCTTAGCCAGACATCCTAGCTAGCACCTGTGTGTGCATTAGTTGAGGTAGCAATGGCATCAGGTGCAGGACTTAGTCCCATTTTATGGATGAGGATCTGCAACCATGCTCTACGTTAGGTCCCAAGCACTTAATCATCTTCTAATGGCATATTTGCAGCCTTTAACCAATGTCCTCCATTTTTCCCCACCCTCAAGTCCCTGGTAACCACCATTCTACTGTCTATTCATTCAGGTTGTTACAAATGATATGGTTTCCTTCTCTTTTAGGGCTGAATAATATTGTGTGTGTGTGTGTGTGTGTGTGTATCCCACATTTTTTTATATCCATCTATCCATCAATGGATATTTTGGATGTTTCCATGTCTGGGCTGTTGTGAATTAAGCTGTAATATTATGGGAATGTCTTCAAGACAGTAACTTTGTTTCCTGTGGTTATATGCCCAGGAGTGTGATTGCTGGATTATATGGTAGCTCTGTTGTGAATGTGCTGAGGAACTTCCATATTGGTGTCTAGTGGCTGGACCAGTTTGACAGTCCCACCAACTCATACATCCATCTCCTCTTCAGGGCTTGCTGGGTTGATGTTTGGCAAGAACCATCCTAATCATGCTGAGGGGATTCACACTGAGGCTTTGATCTGTGTTTCACTGATGATTAATGATATTGAGCATCTCTTGTTGTACCCATTGGCCATTTTATCTCTTCCTTGGAAAAACACCCATTCAGGTTTTTTGCCCTTTTTTAATTAGATTGCTATTCTGCTGTTGAGTTGTATCTGTCTTGTCTATTTTGGATAACTTATTGTGTATATGGCTTAGAAATATTCTCTTTGTTCTGTAGGTTGTCTTTTATTTTGTTGGATTTTTTTTCTTTTGCAGTGCAAAACTTTTTAATTTGATAGAGTTCCACATTTTTATGTTTGCTTTTGTTGCCTATCCTATTCATGTCAAAATGATTGGTAAAAATGATTACCAAGACCAATGTTATGGAACGTTCCTAGGTTTTATTCTAGGAACTTTAAGATCATAGGACTTATATTTAAATCTTTAATTCATTTGAATTGATTTTGTATAGAGTAAGAGTACAATTCCTTCCTTCCTTCCTTCCTTCCTTCCTTCCTTCCTTTTTTATCCAGGTTTTCCTAGCACCATTTATTCACAAGTCTATCCTTTGACCATTGCATATTCTTGATACCTTTGTCAAAAATTAGCTAGCTATGTATGTGCGAGTTTATTGTTTCCTGGGTTCTCTGTTCTGTTTTCTATGACAGCAACATGCTGCTTTGATGATGAGAGTTTTACAATGTAGTTTGAAATCAGGAAGTGTGATGGCTTTATCTTTGCTCTTCTTGCTTAAGATTGCTATTATTGCCTGAGGTCTTTTGTGGATGTATAGAAATCTTAGGATTGCTTTTTCTAACAATTGTGAAGGCTTTTATTGCAATTTTGATAGGGATAGCATTGAATCTGTTATTGCTTTGGATAGTTTGGACACTTTGATAATATGTATTGTTCCAATCCTTGAGTCCTTTCTTTCCCTCTTTATTCCTTTGTAATATGATGATTTTATGTAGTGGTATGTTTTGATTCCTTT